CTGGCTGCCCTTAAGATTTTTTCCTTCATTTCAACTTTGGTGAATCTGGCAATTATGTGTCTTGGAGTTGCTCTTCTCGAGGAGTATCTTTGTGGCTTTCTCTGTATTTCCTGAATTTGAATGTTGGCCTGCCCTACTAGGTTGGGGAAGTTCTCCTGGATGATATCCTGAAGAGTGTTTTCCAACTTGGTTCCATTTTCCCCCTCACTTTCAGGCACCCCAATCAGACGTAGATTTGGTCTTTTTACATAATCCCATACTTCTTGCAGGCTTTGTTCATTTCTTTTTCTTCTTTTTTCTTTAGATTTCTCTTCTCGCTTCATTTCATTCATTTGATCCTCAATCACTGATAGTCTTTCTTCCAGTTGATCAAGTCAGTTACTGAAGCTTGTGCATTTGTCACTTATTTCTCATGTCATGGTTTTCTGTCCGTTCGTTTATGGCCTTCTCTGCATTAATTATTCTGGTTATCAATTCTTCCACTCTTTTTTCAAGATTTTTAGTTTCTTTGCACTGGGTCATAATTCCTCCTTTAGCTCTGAGAAGTTTGATGGACTGACGCCTTCTTCTCTCATCTCGTCAAAGTCATTTTCCATCCAGCTTTGATCCGTTGCTGGCGATGAGCTGCGTTCTTTTGGAGGGGGAGATGCGCTCTTATTTTTTGAATTTCCAGCTTTTCTGCCCTGCTTTTTCCCCATCTTTGTGGTTTTATCTGCCTCTGGTCTTTGATGATGGTGACTTACTGATGGGGTTTTGGTGTGGGTGTCCTTCCTGTTTGTTGGTTTTCCTTCTAACCGTCAGGACTCTCAGCTGTAGGTCTGTTGGAGATTGCTTGAGATCCACTCCAGATGCTGTTTGCCTGGGTGTCAGCAGCAGAGGCTGCAGAAGATAGAATACTGCTGAACAGTGAGTGTACCTGTCTGATTCTTGCTTTGGAAGCTTCCTCTCAGGGGTGTACTCCACCGTGTGAGGTGTGGGGTGTCGGTCTGCCCCTAGTGGAGGATGTCTCCCAGTTAGGCTACTCAGGGGTCAGGGACCCACTTGAGCAGGCAGTCTGTCCATTCTCAGATCTCAACCTCTGTGTTGGAAGATCTACCACTCTCTTCAAAGCTGTCAGACAGAGTTGCTTGCGTCTGCAGAGGTTTCTTCTGCTTTGTTTTTGTTTTTGTTGTTGTTGTTGTTTAGCTCTGCCCCATCCCCAGAGGTGGAGTCTACAGAGACTGGCAGGCCTCCTTGAGCTGCTGTGAGCTCCACCCAGTTCAACCTTCCCAGGGCTTTGTTTACCTACTTAAGCCTCAGCAATGGTGGGCTCTCCTCCCCCAGCCTCGCTGCTGCCTTGCGGTTAGATCGCAGACTGCTGTGCTAGCAATGAGAAAGGCTCCGTGGGCATGGGACCCTCCCGGCCAGGTGTGGGATATAATCTTCTGGTGTGCCCATTTGCTTAAAGTGCAGTATTGGGGTGGGAGTTACCCGATTTTCCAGGTGTTGTGTGTCTCTGTTCCCCTGGCTAGGAAAAGGGATTCCCTTCCCCCTTGTACTTCCCAGGTGAGGCAACACCTCGCCCTGCTTCAGCTCTTGCTGGTCGGGCTGCAACAGCTGACCAGCACCGATTGTCCGGCACTCCCCAGTGAGATGAACCCAGTATCTCAGTTGATAATGCAGAAATCACCTGTCTTCTGTGTCACTCGCGCTGGGAGCTGGAGACTGGAGCTGTTCCTATTCGGCCATCTTGTTCCACCCCTCGCCCTGTCTGTGTAGTTATATATGTGTTATGTGTGTGATGTTTATGTAAAAAAAAAAAAGCTCTAATTGATTGGCTTAAAGAAAAATAATGGCTTAGATCAAATATTTTTTAAAGAAAAATGAATCTGTAATGCCTTTTAGTTCATGTGACTTTAATCTTTGAGAATTAAAAACAACTTTAAATATTATTGGTAATGTAAGAATGTCTTCAAAATGTAGACATATGGCCTAAATTATGCAGGTCAGAAAGTAGGTTTGCTAAATTCTTTAAGGCCATAAACTGCTTCTTTGGCTTTTGAAAATTGTTTGACTTGCTTGCTTTACAGTTTGGTAAAGTCTGGGGACATATGGAGTTAACCACACCCCTAACTATGCTGGAAAGAGTCAAATCTTATCTGCACCTACTACATAATTAAGGTAACTTACCAATTTTATGCCAAAATTAAAAATTGCTAAGAGTTACCACTATAACATGTAATTGAGTCTATTGAAAATAGGTTTACCTTCAAGGTGTGTAAGGAAAGTAAATTTTTTTGGTAAAAGATTATACGAAGGCATAGGAATGTAAATTTCTGTCTGTTTAGAGAGTTAAAGAATTGTTTGAAATTAGATAAGATAAAATGAAAGGTTTGAACAAGTTGTGGAAGTTTTGCAAAAATTAATCTTTTGACAAAATTTTTTGTGTGAACATATTTACTTATTCAAGAGGATATTATTAGCTTTTTCTGTGTGTTGAACATTAGAATAAAAGCAAAAAAGAATTTTCTTAAGGCAATGAGTTGCTCTTTAACAAAAGTTTGTAATGGGTTATAAAAGGTTTATGAGAATCTCATCTCATGGTCAAATTGGTTAAGATTAGATAGATTTGTCCATAAGTTTTTATTTAAAAATTGGGGTTGACATTAATAATAGACTAATGCAATGGTGAAATTTGGCTCTGTTTCTCTGGAACAAGATTTTCATGTGTTAAAGAATAATAAAAGATTTTTGTTTGCTTTGTAAATAAACTACCAAAAAAAGAAGGGAAGGACAAGAGACAGATTGTTCGGAAAGCTAAGTCTTCCCTCTTAATGAGAAAAGGGTTTTGCCTTCTTTTTACAGTTTTGAGTCATATTTTGGGTAAATAAATGACTTAAGGTAACATGAAATTCTTTTCAAAATATGAAATGTTTTAAATCTTTAATATATATTTGATAGGCTTTCCAAAATTAAATTTCAGCTTCAGAATAGTCTTTTCTGACCCCTAACTTTGTGATGCTACAGAGGGCCACCAGAACATCCAGAATAGAGGTAAACAGATATATCTGGCATGTTTAGTTACAAGGAATTGTTGAAATAAAAATAAGGTTTATTCTTCAGGTTGTATTTTAGTAAACATTATTAACATATGTTCCAAAATGGTATGGGATTTCTAAAATTCTAATGTCTGAGTGTATGCTATCAATCATAATTAGGGTTATTATGTTATTATAAACCACAGAAATAACCAAATTTCTTTGTCAATCATGTTTTTAACTATGACTACCGTAAGACATTTTGTCATTCACAGACAATTATTGTTGTGTTTTGATCCACTTCAAAAGATAGTTTTTAATGAACTATAGGAATTTGACAGGTGCTCATTAGTTGTTTTTAAGTTTTTGTCTGCATTTTAGATTAAGAACCATTCTTATTTTTTGTGAGCCAACCAGAGATCTCTGACTACAGCTCAGAAGAAACAAAGGGAATGGGTAATGTAAAAGTCTTGATCAATATTCTCATTCTGGTCAATTATCCTGCAAATTCTACCAGGCAATGAGGGTAAATGGGGTGCCCATAACCCAGAGCTTTTATTTATGGGAAAACTAAACCAAAGGATTATCTACTCACCTAAACAGTTATTTCTCTTCTAATGCCAAATGAGATTCAATTTCTTTCATCAGGATGAAACAGCTCCAGGTACAACATTGTTTTCAGAATGGTTAGTCTATTTTGCTTCTTATTTCTGTTATCTTTGGCACTGGATTTTTTTTCCTTCACATACTTAACCGTCTTGTAAAATCTGTTTCTTCTCACCTAGAGATTATCAACTCCAAGCAGTCATGCAACTGGAGCCATGGATGATGACTCCCTTTTTACCAGGGACCCTTAGGCCTCTGAGACATATCTGACTGCTGTTTTCCCCAAAACAGCACCTTCTGTCAGAATGAAGCAGTTAAGAGTGATCATCATTCCTATCCTAACAGCAGTTAGGTGTACCTCTTCAGAAGGGAATTGGTGGCAGTGGCAGCCCACCTGGAGCAGCCACTGTGAAGACACTGACTACAGCAGGGAGGCATGGGCAGGGCTGTGTGCTCCACAAAGCCAGTGGGTATCGGGGAACCTGCCTCCAATATTTCAATGTATATTCTGTTGCCTAAGTGTCAGCTGGTCTGAGAAATAAAGAGAAAGAGTACAAAGAGAGGAATTTTACAGCTGGGCCACAGGGGTTGACATCACATATCGGTAGGTCCATGATGCCCACCTGAGCCACAAAACCAGCAAGTTTTCATTAGGGATTTTAAAAGGGGAGGGGGTGTACGAACAGGGAGTAGGTCACAAGGATCACATGCTTCAAAGGGCAAAAGGGAGAACCAAGATCACATGCTTCTGAGGAAACAGGGCAAGGACAAAAGCAAAGATCACAAGGCAAAGGGCAGAATTAGAATTACTGATGAGGGTCTATGTTCAGCTGTGCATGTATTGTCTTGATAAACATCTTAAACAACAGAAAACAGGGTTAGAAAGCAGAGAACTGGTCTGACCTCAAATTTACCAGGGCAGGATTTTTTCCCCACCCTAATAAGCCTGAGGGTACTGCAGGAGACCAGGGTGTATTTCAGTCCTTATCTCAGCCCCATAGGACAGGCACTCCGAGGGCAGCCGTTTATAGACCTCCCTCCAGGAATACAATTGTTTTCCTAGGGTCTTATATTATATTCTTTGCTAGGAAAAGAATTTAGTGATATCTCTCCTACTTGCACATCCATTTATAGGCTCTCTGCAAGAAGAAAAATATGGCTGTTTTTCCCCGACCCTGCAGGCAGTCAGACCTTATGGTTGTCTTCCCTTGTTCCCTAAAATCACTGTCATTCTGTTATTTTTCAAGATGCACTGATTTCATATCATTCAAACACACATATTTTGCAATCAGATTTCATATTGTTCAAACACACAGGTTTTACAATCAATTTGTACAGTTAATGCAATCATCACAGGGTCCTGAGGTGATGTACATCCTCAACTTACAAAGATAACAGGATTAAGAGATTAAAGTAAGACAGGCATAAGAAATTGTAAAAGTATTAATTTGGGGAACTGATAAATGTTCATATTAAAACGAAATCTTTGCAGTTTATGTTCAGAGATTGCAGTAAAGACAGGCATAAGAAATTATAAAGGTATTAATTTGGGGAACAGATGTATGTCCAAGAAATCTTCACAATTTAAGTTCCTCTACTGTGGCTCCAGCCAGTCCCTCTTTTTGGGATCCCTGACTTCCCGCAACAAGTGGGAGCTGGGAACAGGCAGGAGCCCTGCCCCTTTCTGAGTTTATGGGGTGGGACCCCACCCTCTTGGTTGCAGCTGCAGCTGCCTAACCATGGCTGCAGACCTGGGCATCCCTGAACTCTTGGAGGCCCAGGTAGTCCTCCCTGACCCCAAAGGCTCAAAAGTCTCTCCTCCCACTCCCTGGCCTCTCCCTGTTCCTGGTGCCCACTCTAATTTTGGAGAAAAGTTGAGGCTGAGCCTGGGTGCTGTCACAAGCTGGCTAGGTGTGCACACTTGGAGCAACTCTAACATGCTAGACACCTGACACCTCACCCCCTTCTGGACTTTTGGTACTGACAGGCATGTGAGGGAGGCTGAGGGGGGCTGAGGGCAGGTTGGCATGGGCCTGCACGTGCCCCATGACACAAACAGCCTGGGTTCCATGGACAACATCATCGATGGTGGCAGGAGGTAGACAGGCTTCTGGGCAGAAAGGGGTACATCCCTGGTGAAACCTCACCTTCAAGCCAAGGATGACCTGAAGCATGGGGGCTGGGCTTTCATTTCCAAGCACAGTTTGTGGCCTGGAGTGAGAACTTATAATGCATTTTCCGGACCCACCCATGGCTGTTGATGAACTAATAAGTGTACACCTCTACCCTTCTGAAGCCAATAAAAACTCCAAACTCAGCCAGACTCACAGAGCTGTTGAGATGACCAGCTGTAGGAAGGAGATACCCAGTTCGGGTCTCCTCAACTTGTCCAGATGACCAGCTTGTGAAAAGGAGCTACCCACTCTGGGTCTCCTCTCTGCTGAATGTTGGACACTTGTTGGGACGACCTGCCTGTAGAAAAGAACTACTCACTTTAGGTCTCCTGAGAGCCATTCTGTCACTCAATGAAGCTCCTCTCTTCCTTACTCACCCTCCAGTTGTTTGGGTACTTCATTCTTCCTGGACACCAGATAAAAACTGGAGACTTGCTGAATCATAGGACTGAAACAGCTGTAACACAAACAGGGCTGAAGTATGCCCCCTGCTTGCCACATTGTAGGTGACAAGGAGAGAAGAGCTGCAGCCCTCAGCAAGCCCAGAACTAGGGGGTCCCTGAGCCAGTGTTGTGACACCCTCTTTGGGGCTCTGCAATTTGTGATATCATCAAGCTTTTGGGCACCATTGTGTTCCTCTTATCTGGATGCGCGTGTCTGCAGTAGAAGCCATGTGCAGTATATCAGGTCCGGTTGCAGCCTCGCATGGAGATGACATCTGTGCTGGCATCTGAAGCTGCCCACCCTGCCCCAGCAGCTGACATGCCTGACTCTGTGCAGTGGCTGGACTCTGTGTTTGCTTGCTCACACAACCCTTGCCTCTCCACACCTGGCTCACCCTTGGTAGGTGTGGGATCTGGAGCCATAGCCAAGTGTAGCCTGCTGGGCCAAGTGGGTGGAATGAGCCCAGTGAGCATGAGCAACACTCAGGCAGAAGGTGCTGTTGGCCACAGAGCTTTCCAGATGGTGAAGCAGCACACCAGGGATCCTGACAAGAACACACATAGGAATATCCACGAATCTTATACCTCACACTCCTATTTCACTATCCTTGTGTGTATCAAGGACACATGCTAAGGTCAAATTGTATGTCTTTCTACCTGAGATTCTGTGCTTCTTCTCTCTATAATTCTTATCTTTCGTACACGAGGCATTGTCAAGATATTGCAAGTTTTACTGTGGCCCACAGTTTGGTTTTTGCATCCCTGCCCTTTTTTGCTGAGCCCTCTGTTTCCTTACTTTCTTTATGCCTCTATCTGTGACCCTACAAAGCTCTTAACCTCACTTGTTACTGTTCTGTGACCTAAATAAGAGTATGAATGAATTCTATTATTGACAGGGAGAATGGTTGGGTATGCAGTCCTCTGCTTGAATAAATAATGTGTAATGGTCACTGCCATGTATTTTGGAGGTTAATTTCTGCCTCTCTGAGGTTGCACAATTTACCTTGTCTGTGTCAACATTGCTGCCTTACTCAGGGATTGGTCCCCTTTATCAATTTTCAGTTTTCTTGCATATGATCTATCCAATTTCAGCTCAAATTTTCCATAAGTTACAAATATCATTTTCAGGAAAGAATAATAATCTAAAATAGTTTTCTGTTTTTCTGGTGGTGAGAGATTTTATCATCTTAGGGAGAATATTGCTTTTTTTGGAAACTGTCTTTCTAAGCCATCTTGAGGTAGGAAAATACTGACAAGTTTTTGGTTTTAGTTAGTGCCAAGACTTCTAAAAAAGATGAGAAAAATAATACATAATAGACAAGGTGAAATTGTTTCTTCTGTGTGAGACAGAGAGTCAGAAAGGAAAAAGGAGACATGAAAGGAGATCATGATAATAGTATCATGTATCAGTTTCTATGAACCTCAAGTCATTGGTAAATCAAAGACCATCATAAAATGCTTGGGATATTTGATTTTGGGTTGATATGGAAACTAAACAGAGATGAAATGCTTGAATTTAGGGGCTAGAGGTAGAGGTGACATGGATATTTTGATTCTATGGATATTGGAGAGGTTCTTAGACTTTCTCCAAATGTGAAATCAGTAAGGATTCAAGGACATTTCAACCTAGGGCACTGAGGAAGAGGAAATTTCCAAATGACATCTGAATTACCTATACATTCAGCCAATCTCAGGTCTCATTCTATCATGTCTAGCTCTTATTTCTGAAGCTTCCATAATAAGAGTTTTGTATCTACTTTATATTACCCACAGATACTGGCTTGTGACCTCCCAGGGGCTCCTAAACTGGTAGAAGTTTCTAGTCTTGGGTTAGGGTGGGAGATTCTCATTTGAACACCGTTTGTATACTCAGTTTAAAATGAACATATGGATCTGTTGCCTGGTTTCATGATTCTAAAAGTAAGATTGGATCAATAAGAGGAAAGATAGACAATGCCAATTACCTTTCCTTGTATTTCCTTGTATCTCTAGTCTAGATTTTTAAATTTCCTGGTTGATTGCTTTTTCAAAAAATAAATTTTATTTGAGGTTTACAAAATAATGCTATGAGTTATATGTAAATACATAGGTATATATAGATACTATAATGGTTACTATAGTAAAGCAAGATTATCATATTTATCATCCCACATAATTACCTTTTTTGCTTTACTTTTTAGTTCTAATCTCTGCCCTGGCCCTGCCTAGAAACCTGTTTTCTTTGGAATGATATCCCTGTCTGGATCTAACTAGTCCTGATATAGACTGCATTTATAATTCTGAATCACTAATTCTTTTAGTTCTCTCACAACTGCCTGTTTATTCTGCAGTTATATATCATTGGTTACCAAATTTCCAAGTCTTTGTGATCTAGGACCCTCACTGGTAACTTTTAGGATTATTGCCCCTTGGTTCTGTTCTCTTGCTAATGACAATACTGCCCATCGTGTATTATTACGTCTTCTGGGGAATTCAGCAGTCCAAGTAACCTGTTTGAACTCTATCAAGATGTCTTCTCTTTGTTTCATGCTTATTCAAAATCTGGGACTTTTTAAAATCAAATTACAGCTTCTCCTGTTTTTATTGGGTCTCTTCCAATTTTTTAAAATGAATTAAGGCTTCAATGGATATCCTTCCCTTTGTAAAAAGGCATGACATTATCTGGGTGCCTGCCAGTGATTAGACCCTCAACATTCCGACTGATTTTGGAAAGCAAAAGAAAAATCTCTGCGATGAAGGGGCTCTCTGGAATTTTGCATTGTATAAAGGTAGAAATATCTTTGTCTGTTTAGTGACTCACAATGTGTCTATTGCTTTATTGTTTCAAAGCTTCCTGGCATAGCTTGTTTTATGGACTATCTTGATGAGTAATTAATTACAAGTAAGTGGGGGTTTAGAAGGTGACAGAAAAACTTGCTTAAAATGATGCAAAACCATATCTGCCTAAGAAAAGCTAAATTGTTTAATTTGGATGAGGAGTTGTAGGAAGACACAGGCTTCCCTCCATTTTGGCCAATTCCCTGCCCAATTCCTGCCCTCCACCTTCCCATCAGAGCCAATTAGAACCAGGCAGTCACCAGTCCATAAAAAATGGGATTCCAGGCAGGGCCAAGCAGGAATACAAACTGAAGGAATTAGAGGCCAATGTTAGTCATTCCTTTTACTTTTCCTTCAGCCACCAGAGTTTAGTCCAGGTATGGCCAGGGTTCTCTCTTAGGCTTTCTGTTTGTACCCTCTCTTAATTCTAAGTTCATTAACCAGTCCAAGCTTCTACCTGTTACGTGGCATCCCATTTTCTCTGGACTAGGCTACTCCCTTGCTCTAATTTGTTCTCTATATGTTTTGTCATTGTACCATTTCAGCACGTACAAAAGTTTTCGCTATACTCCTTAAAATTATCCACTCACAATCCCATCTTATATGCTATTTCAGATAGAAGAAGGCTTACTGAAAGAAACCCACAGAATTCCAAGTATATTATATCTGCCCATAGCTTTAGGAAAATATAGCTACTGCTCTTCCAGTTTATTGATTGTCTGCCTATCATTGGTTTCTACTAAGAAGTAAATGTGTTGGGTAGTGGTGAGAAGGGATGTGTCTTTCGCTTTTCCCTCTTTTTCTCCTTGAATATTCAGAAACTATTTCTTTTTCTGACTCAGAGGAGCAAGAAATCAACTGGGATAATGGAGTGGGCAAAGGAGTAACAAGAATAAAAATCTATTTCTCCAGCTTGCTTTACAATCAGCAGTTTTAACAGATATTTAATATCTTATAATATACTATTCCAAGAGAAAGAACTTGCAGTTTAAGGAAATGTTTTGAAAAATGAGTGGTATAATCTCTCCATGTTTTATACATCCCAAATTATCATGTTTGACTACTATAAAGACTATTATATTCAATATTTTTGGTTTATTTGTCAGCAAGACTAAGGTCTTTATGTTTTTCTTATCCCAGAGAAATGCAAGTGGGATGTCAAAGTCATATTTCTGTTCATTCATATTCATATTTAACAGGTTTAACATGTTACACAGTGTGGTAGTTTCGTTTCACAAACATGAGACTAGTTCCAGTTAATATATACAGTAACATTTTGAGAATTAATATTTCTCTTTTATAATGCCTTGAGCATCACACAGTTAGCAAATAGCATGCAGGATTATAACAGAGGTCAGTCTGACTCAATCCATTACACTACTTTCTCAAGGTGTCTGTGGATTATCACATGGATCATGAGGGTATCAAATTTCGAGCCTTTCTAGTACGGGATTCTGGAAGTCAATAAGAGTAGATTCTAGGATGTAGTTAAGATTAAACAAGTTGGGCAGGCAGTTACTATGACTCAGCAGACTTGCAGGGTTTAGGACCTAGCAGTTCAGAATCAGCTAAAATAGTCCCACAGAGCAGACTGAGCACAAAGCTTTGTTATTGTTCATTTTTGTTTGTTTGTTTTATTTTGCTATGTATGAGCCTTGATGCCTAAACCTGTTGTCAGCAATATTTTCAGAAAGGGCTTAGAATATGCTTGACTGTGGTGCTATGTGAAACAGTGTCTGGAACAAAGTCGGACTGGCTCAAGACAAGGAACAGTGCTAGAGAGTCATTCTCAGGAATTTAGGAAGAGAAACCACAGCAGAAGCAGTGGCCACACATGGGACACCAGAAAGATGCATAGATCACAAGCAGACGAAATTCCAGTAGGACAGATTTCATAAACCAGTTCTAGAGAAGTAGGCTAGGCAAGCCTCAAAAATGTAAAGTAGAGACGTGGAGTGACATGCCCACTGGAATATCTTGTAAACATCTCAAATTAGATTTAAAGGTGTGGGTGGATGATTGACAAAAGTCTGGGTTAGCTGCTAGATTTCACTCAAGCAGTGTGGAAAAACTCTAGTCTTTCCCAGGTTCACTTACAGAGTTTAGGGCTTTCTGACCACAAGAGAGGGACTGATACTGACTTAGTCGTTGTTAGGGCAATTGATCCTTTTCTGTTCCTAAAAGATCTTTACCAAAAAATTTTAATGTTGCCTCCACAATATTCCATTTCAATAATGAGAAATATTCACTCTACTAACCTGCTCAGGCCTCCAACAGTGTGAGGACCACCTCATTGGCTCTGGCCTTCCCTTTGAGAAATGTCAAATCCACCATGCTTCTTATCTTTATCGTTGTAGGCCATTCCATAATGCAAACTCCTGTAGCCCCTCTTCTCTTGGATCCTTTCATGCCTTTTCTCTTTCATTTCTTTTTTCTCATATTCTATCTATTGACTCAGGATGCTCATTCTATATACATTTACTCTACTCCATGTTTTCACTATATTTAAATAATTATCTTTTTTCTTTTTTCCTGTGATGAATAATCTCATTTGTTGATTTGGTTAGGTTATGGTATCCAGTTGCTTGTCAAACAGCTGTCAGACAAAGGTGCTTTTGTGAAGATGCTTTTTAGATATGATAAACATTTAAATCGGTAGACTTTGAGTCAAGCACATTACCTTCAATAATGTGGGTGAGGCTCACCCAGTGAGTTGAAGGCCTCCAGAAAAAACAACTGAGGTCCCCCAAGAAAGAAGGAGTTCAGCCTCCACTTGGCCTTTGGACTCAAGGCTACATCAGCACCTCTTCCTTGGCTTTGCAGATCGCTGGCCTGCCCTGTAGATTTCAAACTTGCCAACTCCCACAATCATGGGAAGTAATCCTTTCAAATAAGTCTCTTTCTATGTGTAAACATCTTATTGGTTTTGTTTCTCTGAAAAACATTTACTCATACAATCCCTTAAAAAAACTTGACTCTGCCCCATGGAAATCACCTACCTTGTGGGTGTCACTAATTGTTACTGTTTTTGCTCTCCCACACTAGACCAAAGAGCCAGGAATCTGTCAGCATTCTGAAGCTCCCATATACTTCCCACTTCTCTTCTTGTCAGGTAAAATCACATCTTTCTTTATTATTAACACTATCCAACTAACACAGTATGCACTACTTTTAAATTTTTTGCTTTTGTCAACCACCAACCTTCCTATCATTTGATGATAAAGTCTGACTTTAGCCTATATACCTGAGACAGTAATATCTTTCTTGAAGGGAAATTGTCAGAATTAGGGCCAGTATGTCTACAGTGTTTAGCCCTGTGAGTCCATTAGTAGGCACTCAGTACATAAGAGTAATTAGTAAGTATTATGTTTCCATTTAGTACGGGTCTGTATATAAGCTTTAAAATTTCAATCTCTGTAACTTTATACCTTCAGGTTCTCTCACACATTTTTTTCTATATAACTACTCTTTTATCTCATTAAGACCTTGGCCCAAACTCTTTCTTTGCTTTGTCATGATACTAATGAATGCTGAGCTGATTTCAGATCCAACAGGTTTCTGGTTATTTGGAATAGGGGTTGGTGGTGACTGTTATCTAGAGTCTAATCAGCTTATACATTAGAGATCTTTAGTAAGTCATTGTTAGACTGCAAGGTCCCTGTTGGGCGTGAGCAGGATATGGGTCCCGGCTCCAAAGGGGGAAAATAAATAAGTCCTCCAGTTTGGGCATATCAATGTTATACACTGCAATATTCTAAAGCATGAGTCACAGGAGTCCTTGGTGGGAAAGTATGGTACCCACTCTCAATTGCTGATGTGATAGCAGATCCTCAGTCTGGACTCTGTAACTTTGAAATACTTTATATTTTCTGTGCCCTTGATTGTAATTGTCAGGGGATCAGAATCCTGTAGTTTCTCTGGTTTATATGAAAATATTAGGGTTGTTTTAACCCCATAAGTATTTAGAAAATAATGGTAATTGATGGTGCAAAATTCTTAATCCAGAAGAAAGAAATTATCAGAGACAAAATAAAATACAAATTTTCACATGTGGCAGTTATTGTGTTGAGATAAGTTTTTTCTATACATATTTTGTTGAGAGTTTTTATCATGAGTGGAGGTTGAATTTTGTCAAACGCTTTTTCTGCATCTATCAGGATAATATTTTCTTATCCTTTATTTTGTTAATATGGTGCATCACATTCATTGATTAGCATATGTTGAACCACACCTGCATCCCAGGGGAAAATTCCACTTGGTTATGGTGTGTAATTCTTTTAACATGCTGTTGAATTAGGTTTGCTAGTATTTTGTTGAAAATTTTTGCATCTATGTTCATTAGAAAAATTGGCATGTAGTTTTCTTTTCTTGTGGTATCTTTGTCTGGCTTTGCTAGTAGATTGATGCTGGCCTCATGAAATGTTTGGAAGTAGTACATCTACCTCTATGTTTTGAGAAGAATTTAAGAAGGATTGGTTCTAATTTTTCTCTGAATATTTGGTAGAATTCACCTGTGAAGGTGTCTGGTCCTAGGCTTTTCTTTGTTGGAAAGTATTTAATTCTTGATAAATCACCTTTTTAAATTTTATTGGTCTGCTCAGGCTTTCTATTTCATCTTGGTTCAGTTTTGGTAGGTTATATGATGCTAGGAATTTATCAGTTTCCTCCAAGTTGTCCAATTTGTTGGTGTATCATTGTTCATTATAGTCCCTTGTGATCCTTTTTATTTCTGAGGCATCCATTGTAAAGTCTCATCTTTCATTTCTTATTTTATTTATTTGAGTCTTCTCTCTCTTCCTCTTTAGTTAGCCTAGCTACGAGTTTGCTGCATTGTTTAATTAAAAATTAATTAAAAATTTAAAAAATTAATTAAAAAATAGTTTTGTTGATTTTTCCTACTTTTTTTTTTTCCTATTCACTATTTGATTTATTTCTGCTTTAATCTTTACTATTTCCTTTCTTCTGCTAACTTTGGTCTTAGTTTGTTCTACTTTTTCTAGTTTCTTGGGGTGCAAAGTTAGGTTTTTAAATGTGAGATATTCATTCTTTTTAATGTAGGTGTTCATTACCATAAATTTCCTCTTTAGTATTGCTTTTGCTGTGTACCTTAAGTTTTGGTATGTTGTTTTTATAATTTTGTTTTCAGATATTTTTAAAATCCTCTTTTGGTTTTCTTTTTACCCAATGGTTGTTCAAGAGTGTGTTTTTAGTTACTATGTATTTGTAAGATTTCTCATTTATTAACTGTTATTGATTTCTAGTTTCATTCCATTGTGGCCAGAAAAGATATTTGGAATGATTTCAATCTTATTAAATTTGCTATAACTTGTTTTGTGATCTAAAATGTAATCTATTTTGGAGAACATTCTATGTACACTTGAGAAAAATGTATATTCTTCTGTTGTTAGGTGGAAAGTTTAATATGTTTATTAGGTCTGCTTAGTATGTAGCAATGTTCAAGTTAGCTGTTTCTTTATAACTTTTTTGGTCTGAGTGTTCTATCCGTTTTATCTCAACACAATAAAGACAATATATGAAAACTTCGCAGATAATATCATAATCAATGTGGAAAAACTGAAAGCTTTTCCTGTAAGATCTCATACATGGCAAGGAGGCTCCCTATTACCACTTCTGTTCAACATACTACTAAAAGTTCTAGCTAGAGTGATTAGGCCAAAAAAAAAAAAAAAAAAAGGAAATAAAAGATATCTAAATTAGAAAGAAGTAAAGTTATTTCTGTTTGCAGGTGACATGATCTACATGTAGAAAATCCTAAAGACTCAATAAAAAACTTTTAGAACTAATAAAAAAATTAGTGAAATTGCAAAATACAAATTTAGCACACAAAAATCAAAATGAATAAAATACTTGGGAATAAATGTAACCAAGGAGGTAAAAAGCTTATACGTTATAAAGTATAAAATATAGATGAAGAAAATTAAAGAAAATATGGATAAATAAAAAGACATACAATATTTATAAATTAGAATAATTTGCATTGCTAAAATATAGGCCAGGCACAGTGGCTCATGCCTTCAGTTCCAGTGCTTTGGGAGTCTGAGGCAGGAGAATCACTTGAAGTCAGGAGTTTGAGACTACCCTGGATGGCACAGTGAGAACCTGCCTCTAAAAATAATCCATACTATGCAAAATGATCTACATATTCAATACATCTTTATTAAAATGTCAATCTGACATTCTCAACAGGAATAGAAAGTTCTAAAATTTGTATGGAGTCATGAAAGACCCAAAATAGCCAAAGCAAACTTTAGAAAGAAGATTAAAGAGGAAATCATTTACAGTAGCAAAGACACGGATTTAAACTATGTGCCCATCAACGGTGGATTGGATAAAAAAATCTAGTACATATTTGTCATGGAATACTATGCATCCATGAAAAAGAATGAAATCATGTTCTTTGCAACAACATGGATGCAGCTGGAGGCCATTATCCTGAGAGACTTAATGAAGGAACAGAAAACCAAATACCACATGTTCTCATGTATAACTAGGAGCTAAATTATTGAGTACTCATGGACATAAAGATGGCAACAATATAAATTGGGGACTGCTAGAAAGGGAAATGGTAGGGGCCAAGGTTGAAAAACTAATTGTTGAGTACTGTGTTCAATACCTGGGTAATGGGACTATTCATATTCCAAAACTCAGCATCACACAATATACCTGGGCTTCATCCCTGGGATGCAAGGCTGGGTCAACATATGCAAATTTATGCCTTTGCTATTTATACATGTAACATACTTGCACATTCACCACCTGAATTTAAAATAAAAGTTGAAAATAAAAGGACAGGACTATTGACCATTAAAAAAAAGTCAATATTTAAAGCTCTGCATTGTCCAGTCAGTTCCCAGCCATTGTCAATCCTCATAAACCTACTAAGCCGAGTATACAATGGTCCCCCAGCCCCAGAACCTTGGGCTGGTTGGAAATTACTATTCAACTGCGTAATAATAATTCAGGATCATAAAACACCATAAACAAAAGTAAATAAATTAATTGAAAAATGAATAAATACTTATCATTTGCAAAAAAGAAACAAAATTGAACTGCAAACTATGTCTTTCAAAGCTTCGCAAACTCACTTTTCTATGTTGTCTTGTGTTGTTATGTAAAATTTGCTCCAGCATTTTGTTCAGAAAGATGACATTGATTAACAATATATTTATCTAAACTGTTGCCATAAAGTTATTATTCATGCAGGGCTACAACCGAATTAATTTTGGAGAAGAGCTATTCAAACAGGACCAGAGCTGTGGTACTTACAAACACCACCTTTTCTCTTTTTGCTAATTAGTTTGAAATGGTTCCAAATAAGAGTCAACCCCACAGAAGTCTGTGTAGCATGAAGCCAGGCTTGTTAAGACACAGAAAACAGTTTCGTCTTGATGAATCAATAACTGCATCATAAAGCCTTTTCAAAAGGAATGCAATCTGAATTACCACACTCAAATGTTGTATATTGTTTATATGCCTCTCAGTCTTTCTTATTAACATTTAAAAGGCCTATTATTATGACTCAATATAGATGACAATACGTTTGTAATGTTTCCCTGCAGTAGGATGGTAGACTAAATTTAGTATAATACCATTTTCTCTTCTCTTCTTATTATATAAATTAACATGTTTTTGTTTTGTGTGTTTTTGATGCATGACTGCCCTTCTAAATTTTGCACTATACCACTAAAACAATTTTGTTATCAATAGTTAAATAAAAAAGAACAAAGCTGGACATGTCAATCTTCCTGATTTCAAACTATATTACGAAGCCAAAATAACATGACAATATGGTAATGCCATAAAAACAGACATGCAGACCAAAAGAACAGAATAGAGACCTCAGAAACAAATTTATGCATTTACTGTCAACTGATCATTGGTGCCAAGGAAAACAATGGGGGAAGGGGTGCCTTCTCAACAAATGATATTGGGTAAACTGCATATCTACATGTAGCAGAAGTAAATTGGACATTTATGTCTCACCATATAAAAAAATCAACTCAAAATTGATTAAAGACTTAAACATAAGACCTAAAACGTTACAACTCCTAGAAGAAAGCATAGGGAAAAGCATTTTGAGATTGGTTTTCG